AATAACGTATGCAACGCCAATTCTGGGTCCAAATAGGATGGCGAATGGCGAAAAATTGTCCGGATGTGTACATGGGTATAATGAGGGGAAAAGGCGTGCTGTGTCACCCGAAGGAAGCACGAGGGGTGGGCTACTGCCACGTTGCCCAAGCCTAGACAAGGCCAAATAACGTATGCAACGTCAATTTTGGGTGCAAATAGGATGGCGAATGGCGACAAATTATCCGGATGTGTACACGGGTATAATGAGGGGAAAAGGCGTGCTGTGTCACCCGAAGGAAGCACGAGGGGTGGGCTACTGCCACGTTGCCCAAGCCTAGACAAGGCTAGTCCGCAGATATTGCCCACTAATAGTGTAACAATGGGTACTAAAGTACAAGAGGCGGAAGGTTGGAACTGAAGAATTCCCAATCATGGTGCACGAAACATTTTTTGACTTGCCTCACAAACGAGAGATTCAGCTGGGTTCCAGATGACTCTCTCGCAAAGCCGAATTAGTTTGCAAATGAGTGTATATTCGCTAATTTCGTGCAATTTGGTTTCAAGTAGAACATGAGGTTGATGAACACTCGGGGACTGCGTCTACTTGATGAGTCCCAAGAAGGGCGAAACTGGTCATGGGCTGTCGATGAATTTTCAGCAACCCTAGGAGTAGTGCATTACGAATTTCTTGACTTACTTTCAAGGTATAGTTATGAGAGATAATGAAGGGGTAAGTGCTGTCGTTTTTTAATTGTTCTGTGTTGACAGCGTTTTTTGCAGTTCCCCAAAACAATATCCGCTATTCTGAGTGAGGTGATCTCTCTGAGAAAAGAACACCACGAAGCAGAGAGACTTTTAGCCTACCATTTCTAGTGGTGACTTATGGGCGATGGCATCAAGATAATACATACAACGGACCTCCCAACGAAGGATCCATCTTGGTAGAAACACGTACAGAAAGATTAAATGAAGGAAAACTTCATTCTGATGAGCTGGCCGATATCAGAAGCAGTGTTGAGACATGAACAGCGCATGTCATTTTGCCTTTCAACTCGGTTTCCATTTCAGAGTCATAAAAACCGAATCTCCATCCCCGGAAGGGTGGGTTGGCGGTAAAATAGTAGAGTCCTAATGCACTACGTACCAACTGGACTTTGAACAGCAAATCCGATGATCCGGAAGCAAGTGAATCTAGTAGGTTTAGTGCAAAAGTTCGATCTCAGAACACCCCAGGATGGAGATGTCTTTAAATTTAGTAATGGTTTATCCGAAGCAAACAGTCAGTGTCAATTTCTTGATTCATACTGTTTTATTGCTTTCCAGCAGTGCCTAGCCGACAGATAATCCTCTTGGAACTAGATACCGGAGACAGGTGATATTTTAGACTGAAGTGGTTTTAGTGTGACACTTGAAGGAGTCTCTAATTGAGGCAACCGAAAGTGCTGTGCAAAGGTTGCCCAGTGGTTCAGTCAGGCTGACATTCAAGATAACGATATATTTCTCCCTGATGCAATACTACTTGTAAGGTTGATGAAAACTGTCTGACAGGCTAGCACCGGTTCTGTCTTTTTAGGACTTGAATTTCCAACAACCCTACTGCGTGATTGAACTGGACATGCATGGATTTGAACACTACTGCTAACTCGCATACAGGTACGACACAAATGGGATTACCGTGACAGTCCTGCTCTTCACGATGGACTTCGGTAGCAAACAGGTCAGAAACTACTCGCATAAGCGGTAAGCGTGGGGTGATGAGACACCGTGAACATAAGAAGCAATCTAAATAAGAACCAAATTCGTCACAGACATGTAAAAGCACGTATAATACCAGATCCAGTGGATTTCCGAAGTAGCAAAACAGTCAGGTGGGTTGTGTACGTGTCAACAGAAGACCACACTCTGATGGAATCGATTAGCAAACAAGTTACCTTCAGCTCCAGCGAAGCTGATACGCCCTAGTTAAAAGTGAGTGAAACAAATACAATGTCATCGATTAAATAACTACATTCATAGGTAGGGAATCGAGGTCTCGTCTGTAGTTCACCGTCATTTGCGAAACACGTCAGCAGTCTTGACATCGGACTTCAATACAAATGTGTTTAGAGTTCCGAGTGCTTTTTAGCCCACGTACAAACACATCTTAGAATGGTCTCGAGCAACCGACCTTCCGCTTGATGGACAAGTACCCAACCAACTGAGATGGATGGGTCTGTGCGAAAGCCATACATGAGACCCGCTAAAGATGCTGACAAACTTCCCTCGTATGAGATAAGTATGCGGAGAATCACTGTACATTAATACAGCGTGACGCAGCGCCCCTGGTGGGTGGGTTGTTAGGGTTAGATTACCCATCCGGTTGGTGATCCGAGTCCACTACCAGGAGCACAGGTCTTTTCGTTAATATGCGGGAGTATGATCAGGAAGGATGAATTCGTCGACGGTCGCCAAAAGAAGAGCACAGCGATTCTCATATTGGTCAATCGGTGAATCACCCACAAAATCAAGATAACAGCAACTTGCTACGTTTGGACAATGTATGACATGAGGCAAGCAAACATCGTGACCCCATTTTGAAAGATGGGTGATACATTACGGGATCATGATCAGGAAGGATGAATTCGTCTACGGTCACCAAAAGAAGAGCACAGCGATTCTGCCAAAAGAAGAGCACAGCGATTCTCATATTGGTCAATCGGTGAATCACCCACAAAATCAAGGTAACAGCAACTTGCTACGTTTGGACAATGTATGACATGAGGTGGCCTATGTGCGGCAAATTCAGTTGACGAACAGCATAAAAAAGACATGCACCTGAGCCCCCCGCTAACGTAAAATTGATTTGAAAATGGGTCTATTCCGTTAGTTACGTGGAATTAGGTGATCAAGTGATACACAGGGTTGATGGAAATTCGAAGACTATGCCTGCTCCAGGAGCCCAGGTAGGGCGAAACCGTTGATAGACATTTGAGGGGTTTTCAGCAAACTCCTGAGCATCGTGTTGTCAGGGAAATATCCCCTGCATACTCGACTCCTAACGAAAATTGTTCGCAGATGAGAGTTTTGTGACTCGTCTGAGTGCTGCACCCTATCCTTTTTCTGACGGTTCGCTTTGTCTCCGAAAGCATTTCAACCAAAAGGATGTCCGGAGGCCAGCCGTCCCTAATAACCGAACATCACATCATTTGGACGGATGTGTCACGTGCAGGATACGGACCAAAAGAAGGCATTCTCTGATTGATCAGAATGCCAGTCAATCTGAGTCGAGCATATTTAACTTGACGCTTCTCACCCCTGAAGGAGATTCTGGCATGACCTTGTGGAATACCTTGTTACTACCCTACAAATAGAGTTGTAGTAATTTTCCTTTACCTGCATAAAGGGCTGTAGAGCTACCGTGCCTTTTGATATACCGTAGTGGACGGAGAAGGAAGCCAGGGGACCGACCGATACAGAGTTGCACAATCGTTAACAAGGCACAACATTGGAGAGAAGCAAAATTTGAGATTTACATAAACGAATTGAAGTAGTAGTGCGCATCAGTGCGTAACAAACCACTCATCATTTGGTACGGTTTCAAAACATGGTGGGGGGATGAGAACCTTCCAACTGAGATTTCGTCTTCTAAGCAAAGCTAATCTACGCTGAAAAGCCGAGAAGCACTGTACAGCTGTTTTATTCTCGTTGGGAATCATCAACAGTGCGCAGTCCACGAAAGTTTCAAACCTGCCACCATCGGGCTAGCAGTTTAAACAATTAGCCGTTCGGTCACGAGCGGCCGATCACCTGTGTGATTAGGTCGTATTTAGACAGGATACGGCGCCACTTAACCTTCAAACACGGCAACCACATCACGTGATCAGGTACTGACTGGTTTCTCAAATGACGACGAATTGACGGTGGCGACGGTGCGGTGGGACTTAGTTTTTTCTGGGGGATATGAATCAGCACTTCTCTCGTTGAACGAAGAAGAGACGAATTGTTGTGTTTTGAACTAAATGTACAGGCCGATTCACTTACTCTAAATATGAGCTGCAGTCATCCTCTGTATCAAACAATACACAGGTCGACTGACCCAATACTGTAACGATCAGCCACCGGTCAAAGATTAGATTCCCTGTTAGCCATTCTCATCACGTGGGGAGGACGTTGATGCTAAACTAGCATTCGATGGAACAGGGTAACACTATATCGCAACAGCTATTACTGAAATCACGTGATCCAATCACGTTTGACATTTCAACACCATGTTCACATGCATTGAAATTCTGTGTATATGGTGCAGCTGTTCGACCGAGATCAGACGGGGGAATACACGTGGAATAAAGGTTGCGAAGTCAGTTAGTGGTTTCAGTTGGCATGATATTCGAGGCATCCCGACACGTTGTATGCACGCAATACACTAACCATAGCGTTGGTGAAAACCCTTCGACAGCCCACTACCGGTTTCGCCCTTCTTATGACCCATCTGATAGGCACAGTCCCCGAGTCAACCTCACGTCCTACTTGAATCAAAATGGCATGAAATACAATGCATTATACAATGTATCACGACATCTCGAATATCGTACCAAATGAAAATTGAGGCACATGAGCAAATTCAGTTGTCTAAGGTCATAAACCAGATTCAGCTGGGTTCCAAGTGAGTCTCCTGTCAAAACCAAATTGGTATGTGAATGAGTGTAGTTCACTAATTTCGCGCAATCTGGGTTCAAGTAGAACATATGGTTGACGGAAACCCAGGGAATGCGCCTACCTGATGAGCCTCAAGTAGGGCGAAACCGGTCGTGGGCTGCCGAAGAGTTTTCAGCACCCTTATGAATAGCATATTTTGTCCACATAAATGGATAAAATTTGCGGTTGTACGGCAGTGAAACATCAGTATCCAGTTGATGTTGCTGTTAATGATGATGAGCGTTATGGATGAAAAGGTCTCTGGGAAGCAGATCATACTCACGACGCGCACCTGTTATTGATGGACAGTTAAGAAACGGAAACAGACACCCAAAAGAAACGTACCTTTAGTTGATCGGATCACATCGTGCTTGTGAATCCACTTTTGCGCAACTACATAGCTTCCTTTGGTTTTTGGATCAATGGCAGCTTTGATGCGATCGTCTTCATCAGCCGGGTTTTCCGTACCTATGAAGACATCAAATCAAGAGTCGACTCATAGTGATCGATCATAGTGAAACGGCCTACAACTGACCACAAGCTAGTAAACTGTAAGTATGAGTTGGTGCAAAACATATTCCACATACTATGAGGGCTTCCATGTTGCCCTCTAACAGCATAGAAAGTCAAACGTATGTATGAACTTCTGATGCGTCTCAGACGACCATCATTCACATAAGACGTAGAGCAACGCTAAGAAACTAATTTGAGTTCAGGACTGCAACTGGCTAAAAATGATTAATTTACGATGGATCAGTGCCTCACAGAACATACTCTTATGTTGTCGCAGTTGTTGGCCGGCATAATCTAGACCGGTACATATTGTGAAAACAGTATCACTATCTCCTCAGCTCTGGAGGGCATCTGCTGACCTGTTTCAATTTCAATTCAACTTATCAGTTACAAACCGTGTACCATGGTGTTAGGCGGAATTTCACACGGATCTCGCTGTACCGCTCGCAGCCAGGTGCTGCTACGGTCGAGAAGTCTATCCCGCGCGAAATTGGCCAAAAGTTCGGAACGCTTGTCGGTCCGGCATCAGGCTGAGATCTGACTGGCCGAAAGTCTGCACCCAGTAGCCAAACATGACCCAGTAATGGCCAAATGCCGGTTGCCAATGGCGCATCCAGAAGGCGTCAGAAATTCCAGAAAGTTGTTGCCAGTTACACTATATATATGAGGCGCTGCTCTCGACTTGGGTGTTAATATACCTTGTACACCTTTGGTGATTGTTTTGACGTGAATGCTAGCTTGGGAGGCTCAGACCGAGAACTAAGCTGAGGAAAACACCGCTACCACACGTAGACAGATTGGTTCCAGATGCTACAGTTTCGACCACCAGAAAGTGGGACAGTGTTGGACATACATCCAAGCACTGGCCACGTTCCAGATGCTACAGTTTCGACCACCAGAAAGTGGGACAGTGTTGGACATACATCCAAGCACTGGTGACGACGGCCTGTTCAGTTAGTTCAGGAATTGGGTAGCTACGCATTGAAGGCGATAGCTTTGATGCACGAGCATGGCTGACTGCGTGATTGGGACAGTGTCATTAACCGTTGGTGAGTTTAGTCTCGAGGTTCCCATTCAGAGAAGCAGCAGTTGTTGACCTGACTAAGTTTACTGGTTAGTGTTTTCATACTTCGTTGTCAGGTCTTACATGGTCCACCCCTCTGTCGGTTCCACCCAGTACATAGCTAGGAGAAAAGAGCTCTGCGAGACAGACGGTCCTCTGGTATTCTAATCAGCGTAACTTATGAAGTGTGAGTAATTCAGCTGCACTTCGCTGACCTGTCTGGTTAGACACGGTCCATGATTTTGAATGCAGCTTCATCTACTGTATGCATTAATTTAAAGCAATTGGTGGTTGTGGGTGGTTGCGGGATTTTGTAGAATGCACGCTCACATCTTCCACGTTTGACCAGCTGTCTTCATGTCCTGGCGCAATCATCCTGGTGAGTTCACACCAAGGGGGGAGGCAATGGACTCGAGTTCATTCGTAGTAGAGCTCATAGGCAGTGCATATCTTGGGCTGTGCTGGGGTTCGAACTCCGCACGCCTGACGTGCGAGGCGAGAGTGTAACCACTACGCCCGCAACCAACGCACGCCGGGCGCAACGTATTTTTTCACTTCTGCACACGTGAACAAGTTTGCGTTTGAGTGATGTGAGTGGACAGCCCGACGCCTCAAACGATGACCCAATAACATACCTTGGCTGTGTCCATTGTTCGGTTCACCAATCAGAACTTCCAAGTCAGGTGGCACCAAAGTAGCCTGAAACCTGCTGAACACTGTTTTGAGTGTCGGTGTTTGCGGAAGTTTTTTAGAATGCAAACTCACATCTCTCAGTCGTCCTCGTGTCCTGGCACAATCATTCTGGTGAGTTCACACCAAAAGGGGGGGAAGCACTGGCCTCGAGCTTCGCTCTTATTAGAGCTCATCAGTAGTGCATTATCTTCGCCGTGCTGGGGTTTGAACTCCGCGCACCAAACATGCGAGGTGCAAAGTGTAAAGTGCTACTGCAAGATTGGGTGGGCTCAAACCCTAGCCTCATGCTTGCGGATGAACCGATTGAGGTAGTAGACAAATTTGTTTACCTGGGCAGCTGTATCAGTCC